TTTCATTTCTTCCTCATTTTACAGATGAAAAAGAAAAGCCAGAGGTTAAGTCACTTGCCCAACGTAATACATCTAGCTACTGAAGAAAAAGAAAATCATCAAGATTTAAAATCCCAAATCCCCAAGAGAGCATCCAGTGCTTTCTCCACAAAACATGCCACGTTTGAATAAGTAAAAAGCCTCCGAAGGGCCTTCGAAGCAGGCGTCGGGTGTGAAGCGGTAGTAAACATCTCCTGTGGGCCTGCCAGTCAGGAAGGCGGGGCTGGACCAGGCAGAGCAACACGGCAGGGTGGAGCCACACCACGTCCAACAGCCCAATTTCATCCTGAGGAACCTCCGAGCTGTGCTAGGATGAAATTAAAGCCTCAGGATTTTTCAAGAAACATAGCTTTTAAACCTCGGTGATTCACTATGTAACTATATTTTCTTTAAATCTTGAAAAACATGCTGTTGAGTGAACTAAATTGACCCTATTAAACTGCCAAGTTTACTCATAGATGATCAGACATAGTTTAATATGATATAGTTTAATGAATTCAAAATCTGAGCTTCGTGGCTTGACATTTCTCTTCTGCCCACTAAACAGTGAGCAAAATTTCCACAAGCATTCAGAGACTGTCTCTTCTACTGTAAGGCCATCAAATCAAAGGTAGAATTCTAAGAGGTTTAGATTGTTCTGTCCCTAAACTCAGATCCCAACCCTCAAATGCATGGCATTATGAATGTCCTATAAAGTATGGGAGCCCCTAGTGATGTGTAATCGAATTCTTAATGCTATCAGGGAACAAGGAGCAATTTTTCTTTTATAAACAATGAGCAAGGGATACAGAGCCCCAAGTGAGCAGCACTAAGTGCACCAGCTGCTGTCAATCAATATTTTGACCATTAATAGTCATTTAAGCTTTTAGTCCAATTTAAATGAATATCACCATGGCTTATATTTTAAACCAGTAATGGATTCTAATCCTTCAATTTTGAAATAATGAGACCCATAGACTGTCATGAGACACAATTACCCATTACTGTTCCTGGTGAAGCAAAAATATTCTCATAATGCTGCCACTAATTTTTAAAAGCATCCTAGGACCCTTAATACCAAGAGAAAAGTTATTTTTCATACAGTGGATTATTTGTATTTGGAGTATCAAATTCATCGCCAGTGAACACAGAGTCAAACCAAATACCACACATTATTTTTCTTGGGCTCTATGACCCTTCATATGATGTTTTAAGGTTAGCAACTGGGAGATTGTATCTAACAATAACTATAAAAGAGCAGTTATATGTTCTATTTGATCACTTTTCCCCTCATTTTTCTTTAATTGCTTATTTCCTAAGTCCCTGCTCCCTTGAGTTTTTTAATTAGATTCCCTGGTATAATGATAAAATGCATCAGCATCTATTGTGTCTTCTAAAGGACATTTGACACACATGAATGGAATACCAGCGGAAAGGCAGATGGCAGACTGGGCTGAGGTATTACAGGAAATTCGGCGCTTGAGAAAAATATTTATGGTTCTTGCTACAGTGAAAGTGACACATTACACAAATAGTTGATGAGAGCAAGAGCAGTAGTCAGTCCATTAGGAGACTGTCAGCCAAATTCATTGGTAAGCATGGACCATGAAATCTTAGACAACGTTTTATTACAAATATATTTGTCTATAGAATAGAGATGTCTGAGGTACAGTTTGTTCTCAAATGTGCATCTCCTTTAAAAAAAGAGACTTTTAAAGGTTTTCATTTTAAACATAGTTTTGTTTCTTTTCTTCCCATTGATTATCACCATGCCCCTGGTAGGGCTCCAGCAAAAACCATGGGTTCCATCCTCTAATGACAAAGGGGTTTATGTAGTCCTACTTTATAATTTCACTCTTTCGGACTTCCTGGAAAATAGAATCTATCTGACTAATCCTAAAAGCATAAACAGTTTGAGGATGCATCTGGATCTCCCAGACACATCCTTTCCACAGCACAATTAGTGAAAGAATTTACTTATTTTAAAATATCTTCGATATCTCGTAGTAGAGATGGAGGTTGAATCCCAGCTCGGCAGCTAACTAATTAACTACATGACCTCCATCTCTCCCTTTGTTTCCTCACCTGTGAAATGAGGATATTGGACTTATGATCTCTAAAGCTCTCAATCTATGAACTCCAAATTCATTTATAACTAGGCAATTAATTCACTTGGCATCTCCTTTTCCCTTATCATTTAAAAGTGTTTATTAGGGGGGCCGACCCCTGGCGTAGCAGTTAAGTGTGCACACTCCGCTGCTGGCGGCCCGGGTTCGGATCCCCGGCGCGCACCAACGCACCGATTGCCAGGCCATGCTGTGGTGGCGTCCCATATAAAGTGGAGGAAGATGGGCATGGATGTTAGCCCAGGGCCAGTCTTCCTCAGCAAAAAAAGAGGAGGATTGGCTTGGATGTTAGCTCAGGGCTGATCTTCCTCACACACACAAAAAAAGTGTTTATTAGAATGTCCCGTCTTGTTACTCTCCTATAGTTTCAGACTATTTTATTACATCACTGACAGAAAGTCCCTAATAAACATTTCAGGTATAACATTTCAATCATCCCTGAAGAAGAAATACGAGAAGAAATACGAGAAGTCACCATATGGACTATATTCAGAGATTATCAGTGAGAAATCTTTTAAGATGCACATGAACCTTATTAGACAGGTGGATAAGTAAAAGCACATGGACTCTGCCATGAGTCACTTTTCCGTTTTGGGGAAGTTACTCCACTTCTTTGAGATTCAGTTTCTTCCCCTGAATAAGGAGGTGGCTGAAGAAGATAACCTCTAAGATCCCCTTAAGTTCCAATAATTATAATCCTATGTCAACAAAAAAATTAAACAACACTAAAATAAAAGCTTTTCATTGACTTATATAGTTCAAGATGATAACTCAAAGACACTCAAAACTCGAGTAACAGAATAGTTATACATATATATGCATGTCTTCATAATTTTTATAATCTTTTTACATTGCACCGTTTCGGAACTTGCTTCTAATAACTTTTGCATAAAAGATTCATGAAAGACAGAAATTACACAGCTCAACATAATCCCATCTTATAAACTTTAAGCCTAAATTGCCTTAAGAATAGCAATTCAGAGAAATTCCATCTCAACTCTTGTGCAATGTGCTAATATTTTATGACTTCAACCACAATTTAAAAGGTTCATGGAGTTTTTGAGGATTAAAAGTAACCCGGAATTTTTCAGGTGCAAAAGTAAAAATTACACTTATGTGTTGTGAGTATAAAGTATATTTCAATTTTAAAAGGTCACCAAAATTTAATCAAGTTTTACGCAACAATGACTCCATCACAGATAAGCTGAAATTGGCAAATGAGTCATAGTTCAATCAAATTCAGGGCTGTGAAGAAATCTTTCCCTTTAAAAAAGTTTGTGGGTCTGGGAGGAAGTAGGGAGAAAAGGGAAGTCAGAACAGTCATTACAAAAAAGTTTGTAATTTTTAAACCTCTGTTGTTTAGCTAAACCATATGTAGCCCTTTTTAACACCAAGAATTACACTGTTTCTGGCTTCTCAGTTTACATCCCATATCCTCATTGATTATTTATTAACCAACTCAAGAAAAAGATCCAGGTCTACTGATGATGGGGAAGGGTGAATGACTGGACCTAGGGCTTTACGGCCGACAGCATCACTTCCTTTCTGCTTACCTATTTCTGTTTAACCTGATTGTGAGGTTTTTCACCTCAAATGAGAGTTCTGTCCTGTACTTTAAGACTCTCAATACAAAGGAATTTAATTCTGTGCTGTAAGTGGATCAGCACAGTCTCCTGAAAGAAATTACACTGCTTAGCCTGAAACTTCCGCCTCCCAGCTCAAGTATCTCACAGTGGGATCCAGCTAAGGCATAGGATTTCTAATGGTCTCAAATCATGACTGTATGTTGTTAACATCAGGACATCATATGGTTAGCATATAAAACGTGCATTGATCCTGTTCCCTGATACTTGGGGATATAAAAGGCTTCAGGACTTCCAAAATGAGGGAAGCGAAATATAACTATATCTTTTGCTATGAATTATAGTAATGCCTCACCTGTTCCCATTGTGTTCAAAGTTTCTATCCATTATCAAGCTGAGATAAGAGTGGTAAAGCAAACTATTTCGTCAATAAGATCAGTTTTAAAACTACTGGTGTCTTGCATTTTACTTTAAAAGATGAGAGTACAGACTAGATAATCTCTGTCACATTTTATTAAACTTTCTGAAAGGGATGACATGGTAAACTGCACAGAAAGAGCAATACTTCGGGAGTTTAAGATGTTAAACAAATGCTTTTCCACACCTTGGGCTCCCTTCCCCCCAAAAAAGATACATGACAAATAAAACTGATAATGACAATAGTTATAAATTAGAAAATCTGAAATCAGGCTAAGAAATGAAAATTACTGCATAAAGAAACTCTTGTATATTAGAAGAAAATAATATAATTATTTCATATAATTAAAATAGATTTGGACGCAATTATTCTAACAGGAGGGGTGGGGTACGTTTCTGCAAGTTTTCTTCTTGAAACTAGTCTATGTAAGAGGATTTGCTCCATACATTTTTAAGAGATGTTATTTCTAGAACTTTATAATGCTCATCAGTCCCTCCTGTGAAAGAAGGTGCTCTTTGTGCCTGCACAGCCATCACTTCCCCATATCTATCACTACAGAAACAAACAGCTACCCTGCTTCCACTCCCCACATGACAATGGACCAGCATCTGTCAACAGACTCGCATTATGTGCCGCGTGAGAACATGGCTGTGACATTTACTCTGTGACAAGGCAAATTTCGGCAGTTCATCTGGAAAGAGACAAGCATTCATTATGCTGCAGCACCTTTCATCAAGCTAATGACACTTCAATCAGCACATTTTCTCCAGTTTCGGTACTTTGCCATCTGAGCACAAGTCTCTAATTACGCCCAAGCAACAAGTTTCACATCAATCCTACAATTTCCGCACTCACCGTACACCATCGCTCCTCCAGTTTCGTGCAAGAAGCGAAATCGATGATTTTTAAATAACCAGATTGTCAAAATGGTAAGGATGAGCAAAAAATTAAAGACAAGCAGCTCCACCGCTCCCTGATGCTGAAACTGATACTCATCCTTCTCTGACACGAGCCTTTGCTCTCTCTCCATTCTCCAGTCTTCTCAGGATTCCTTAGATAAAAACCTGGATAAGGGCTATTTTATCAACGTTTGCCCACGACAGTCTGGCTGCCTGAGGATTTCAGAATAAACACTGCCACTTAAGTTGCTACTTCACCAGCATTCTGCCCTGGCTTAGCATTCAGATGGCTTCTAGTTACAACTTCCTGTTTCTCTCTTAAAGCAGCCTCGTCTCTTTTCAAACTCCCGAGTGTGGTTTCATCATCGACTCTTACTGCCTTAACTGATTCATTCCACGAATTCATTATCTTTCATATTGGACAAACCTGCAAGCAATCATTCTGAGATCTTGAGTTATGATCTTGTTGTTTCAAGCAAGTCTCCTTAAGCTGCATAACTAGTGAATTGTAGATTAATAACAAAACAGATCACCTTACATCAGCAACCTTTTCTAAGTTCAAAAAGCCAACTCCAGAACCATAACCTAGCTCACATGCGAGATTTTTTCCTTTCCAACCAAAGCCTACCAATGTGGTAGAGATTGATAGCTCTGGTTTGACCTAAAATGATTTCACAGAGAGTTTTTTCAAATTAAGAAGCAGGAAAGAATTTCGTATATGACTCTCTCTCAGTTTGATGTCTTTTTTTGTGTGTGTGAGGAAGATCAGCCCTGAGCTAACATCCATGTTAATCCTCCTCTTTTTGCTGAGGAAGACCGGCTCTGAGCTAACATCTATTGCCAATCCTCCTCCTTTTTTTCCCCAAAGCCCCAGTAGATAGTTGTATGTCATAGTTGTACATCCTTCTAGTTTCTGTATGTGGGACGCAGCCTCAGCATGGCCAGAGAAGCGGTGAGTCGGTGCGCGCCCGGGATCTGAACGGGGTCGCCAGTAGCAGAGCGGCGCACTTAACCGCTAAGCCAGGTTGGCCCTCTCTGTTTGGCTTTATATAACCGGTAGTCACAAGAGAAGCATTTAAATTCTGAACCAATTGTTTTTGCTTTTAACAAGAATAATGAAAGCAAAAGACAAATGGAAAATTCTGTCTCCATCTCTACGGCTGTGCTGTTTGGATGTGTTGAGTCAAAAAAGAAAAGAAACTAAACACATATCTTTGAAGGAAGAAACCATACAGCCATCCTCAGTGATGTCACTACATGGATTTCTCTTTGTAGAGCTTCTGGCCCAGACATTCAGGACCCACAGAAATCTACCACAGATCACAAACCTCCTCTGTCCTGTGGCAAAACAATGTGGTTCACTGAGGAATAGTCTGCCACCAGCAATGAAGTTTCCGGAATTGCAAGACTCAGACCTTGACAGGGCTCCGACCAATGATGTTTCTTCAGATCATCTGGCGGATTGGTTCTGTTTGAATTCATATTTCTATGCTTTTTTTTTTTAAAGTTCAAGACTATACTGCCATGCTGCTTTCTTAGCAATTGTTATGATTTGTTTGCCTTATTGGTTCTATAGTGCAGTTAGATACATTCCAAGGTTGGGTAAGATTTTTCATCAGATCCTGATATTATTATAACTCAGGAGTATTAATCCTCTAATATCCCCATATTTGACAGAATTAGAATTCAATTTATACAGTGGAAGTGATTCATGGAGTAGGATGAGCCCAAATATACCCTCAAAAGACCTTGTCATCGAAAGCTAGAGGTGAAACATGTAATATCTTGGGAGCTAACTAGCTCCTCAATAACAGTTTCACCCACAGAGAAAGTCTATCAAGCACTTAATGTAAAACTCTGCTGTTTCAGCTTCTTTTCCTTCTGCAGCCTCTGAAGCTGATTTCCTCTCTGAGTTTAACCCAGCAGGGGTATTTATGTGGCTGCAGATGTACTGCCCTTTTTGGGAGGCATATCTGTGATGACTAACATTCAAACTGTTTTGAAATCTGTCAGCTACTGCTTGCAAGCATTTCAAGAAGATTTGCTAGCAGGTTCTACCTTTATAATTTTGCAACCCCACAGGTTTAGTCTTGTCGCTAGATTTACAAGATAACCCAAACCCAAAACCTGGCAAGTCCCTATCTTTTTTTTCTTTCGGTCATCATTTAATTACTTTGGTTTCCTTTTAATAACGACAATGATTCCACCTAGGTAGAATAAACTTTCTTTGGTTGTCTTATGATGACATTCAATTTTACTCTCTTACCCAATGAAGCAACTAACTCAGCCAGACGATTCAAGGCCGTCAGAATGTTTTGATTGGCTAGTACATTGTTTTCAAAAGTCCCAAATTTGATGTCAACATATTCAAGTAAGTACATTTCACATTAAAAAACCATACACAAGGCTTCTCTAGAGAAAATTGGTAAGACCTGGCACAGTGGGCCCTCCTTCCCGTGTGCCGCACTCTGTGAGGGCTGAGTGGCTACCTGTTGGCCCCAAGTCCCATTCATCCCTCTTCACTCATTCATGTTCCCTGCACTGCCCCTGCAGTCATTTGAATATGTGGCACCTGGTTAATTCCAGGAATGGAATACATTCGCTATTCCGTTGTCCAGCCCTGATGCTGCTTAACATCAGGATGGAAAGCTGGGAAGAAAAAGGGGTTCAGGAAACTTCAATTCTTTCACTCAGAAAAGTATTTCACTTCCCCCACTGTATGTTTTCTTCTCAGAGATCATTTATATTCTGCTGTGCCAATAAAAGTAAGAAAATGAAATAGAAATATATATCAATTTGGTATCTACTACAGACCAGAAAATATGCTAGGAAATTTAACTTAGTCTAATTCAATATTCATAAAAACCCTTCTACAGATGAGAGATTTAAGGCTCAGAGAGGGTTGATAACATATCCAAGGTTTCACAGCCAGTAGGAGTTAAATTTATGTGTGGGGTTTAATGGCCTTAAAATGGCATTTCAGCTACGGTGATCAACTCATCTTGGCTTGTCAGAGACTTCCCTGGTTTTACCACAGAAAGTCCTGTATCCCACGAAACTCCTTAGTCACAGGCAAACCAGGACAGTCAGTCACCCTAAAAGCCAAGGTTCTGTAAATTCACAAATCCTGTACTGTCAATAATACCTGTTCTTTATGAGATTCCTGAGGGAGATATTCACACAAAGAAGAATAACAATTAAAATTTAAGGCACTGTTCTATTAGCTGGTGACCATAACACTTAGCGCCAGGTTCTCTGATGAAGGTGGGATGGAACCCAAAACTTAGGCACAAGGCCCAAAGAAGAATTCTTGATTGACCCTTAATCCCAATCTTAACACCTGCTGGCTACAAGACACAACATGCAGGTGAGAGGAAGTAAAGAGAAAAACAGGACGGCCCAGCCTGTTGCAGCGCGAATGCCCTGCCTCAGCTTGCCCATCTAGCCCCAGGGAAGGAAAGACTTGCAGAGAGGGGCCTCCCAGGCCAGGTCACCTTGTGTAGTTTAGTAATCTCACCCACTAGTGAATGTGACCAGTTAGAACCCGTAGACTACATTCCAGAATCTGACCAATCATTTGAGAGTTCTTTGTTCTTGGAGAGGAGAGTGGGGATTGTGGGCTCAGAGGATCGAGAAGGGAAACTTTCCCACAGTGAGGAGAGATGCTGAGGGTTCCCCTTCCCTGCTGCCTGGAGCTCCACCCTGCCCAGTCTTGGTTCTCTCTCAACCACTGGGCTTAACAGAAAATACTTAAGTCAACGCAGGCCCTTGGTTAGCAGAAATCCCATTACCTTGTTTCCTTGGCCTCTCCCCTGATATTTATCCCTCTCTGGGACCAGTGAGATAGGAGTTTCATATTTTGCCACCTAAAGCTTCTGAAATGAACCAGGACAGAACTGTAATTAAGTGTACTTGAAGGCCACACAATGCACTAAACCAAAAATTCAACCCTTATTCTAGTTGCAAACTTGCCATAAATCATCTGTTAAAGTAATTAAATGAAGTAACCATTAGATTGAGGGGCTCTAATGCCTTGGTAGCCTATGCAAGCAAACCAAACATAAGCCAGAGGCAATTCACTCAAATCCAAGAAAATGAAACTTAACAACCAATTACAAACAGCCAACCAGACTTTCCCAAATATGGCAACCACTTAAGCTATAGCCAATCAGATAATTTCCTTGTTTCGCTTCCATGTGTTCTCTATAAGAAACTTCTCTCCTAGCTGCTGTCAGTGGAGTGCTCCTAACCAATTATGGTTTGGCGCTGCCCCATTTGAATGGAGGTGCACTCAAATAAACTCTTAAAAATTTTAATGTGCCTCAGTTTATCTTTTAACACATCTTAGCTTCCCCTACCCAAAAATGTCACGTCAGCATTTAAAAATGCCTCTAATTTGATCAATGTGAACTCCTCCCACGAGTAGATTTCCACAGAGAAATGAGAATTCAAAAATTTCACAGGAAAGTTAAATTTCATAATAAACACTTAAACAATATTGTGTCTCAAAGAAATTCACCGCCCAGTACCTGGTTTTTCTTCTTCAGCCTCTGCAGAGTCTGGGTCTCTGGTCCCAGGGTCATGAAGCCAGGGCATAACCCCCAAGTCCACATTCTTTCCACTGCTCTTCATTATAGTGGAAGGTGACATAAAGCTCACTGCAAACTAGTGAAAATGAGAGGATTTCTGTAATTTTATTAACTCACGTACAGAAACTTGTGGCATAAATGAAGACCTCTTCCTTCTTCTACCTCACAGGGTGTATTCCAGCTATGCTCTGAGGAGGGAAAACTGGGGTACAGACCTCACTCTTTCCCAGGTGATGTCTTATCTCTGGATTGTTGATCCCTGATGCCCAGGAGTACAGAAGAAGGTCCCCCATCCAGCGATGACCAGAGAGGAGGGGAATCCCCTTCCAGTCGCACTGGATGCTGCTTGCTGGTCTCGCCCCAGCAAACACAGACGGGATCCCACTTTTTATTCAGGCATTCCTTCACTGAAGAGTCCCAAAGCTGTACAGAGCTGGAGGGAGGCAGCCTGGCCTTGTGCCTGGGATCTAGCCATGTCATCCCTATGCCATCAAAGGCAATGGGCTCACAGCTAAGGTTTCGGAATGAGGAGAGTCCCAGATGGGTATCCCGTGATTCCTACTCCAGCCTCTTCTCTCCCTTTTGTCCCCCACCTTCTATCCACATCACTCCTTTTCTTTTGTAGAGGGCATCTCTTCAAGAAACAATGAATGTTATGTGTCAATTATATCTCAATTTAAAAAAAATTTTTTTGTGTGT